GAGGATCGCACGCTTCAGCATCGTCACCTTCGATCGTGCTAGCGGTGCTAGCGTGGCTGTTCCCACACGTGTTGCGGCACGGTCCATCGTCATTTGAAGTGGAACCATCGCTGGCATCACTCGAGGAGGCATCGGTAGTGGCACTGGCGATGTTTGAAGCGGTTGCAACCGAGATCTTGCAAGCAATGTCATCCAAATCATTCCTTAAAGTGCGTGGTTTTTTCCACCTCGAACACATCTTGCGAAGATCCGTGAACAACACATACACTGATGATCAAAGATACCCGCACGATGCAGCACGAGCACGGCGCATATGCTCAAGATACACGCATGAAACAGCACGACCACCCCAACCCAGACATAACGAGCGAAGAAAGGAGCCGGTTGAGTTAGTATGTCGCATCATGTCGATCACGTGGTGCACGTGGGTGCGCGCTTACACTTACACTGGTCGACGGCTACGAGTAATCAAAAGTTTCTCATACGCCTCACGTCGGTTTTTTTAAACTAACCTGATTCGAATCCGAAATAATGGTTTTGTAACTTGGCCACCCTCGAGAAACTTAAATCCGCGTTCGAGAGACGGGTTTTGCACTCCAGAGTAACTCCTGTGACCCCAGCGTAACACATCACTGCTGTATTACAAATGTGTACCTTTACTTCAGTAGTTCCATCGTGTATTGAAACTACTGAAAGGTTTGAAAAGTTACCATAACTTTATCAAATCGTCTAAAATTGCCTTGCCATATTATCTAAATATTTTATTGTGTTACTTTAGGTGTGTCGGCAGCGCCATCACTACGAAAAACCGGACAAGGCGTTGAATGATGGGTAGAAATACGATGTACGTCTTTGGGAAGTTTCACAACTAAAAAAACATCGGTTCCACTCCGCGAGAAAGCTTTTCTTTTTATAATAGTTCAGTTGAACGCAGAGGGGTCGTCAAGCTGCGACGACGCGAATCTACTGCCGCCGCAGCACTACAAGCGGCGCTGTAATCGGCTTTCGCGATCGAGTTCCACGAGCCGATGTGTCGTCTGCTTCTGACTGCTCTCCGTGTGTGCGGCTTATGCCTGAGTTTTCAGTAAAGTGCATGCGCGCGTGCGCGAGTGAGCGATAGCAAGTTCGTTCCACGGCACTTGTGGCCACGCCTGGCCACGCGTGCCTACTCGTAGCGTGGAGCGGATTCGTTTCGGTGGGCACTCCACGAGCGGTTGCACTCTCCGAGTTTTTCAGCGCCGACACCCCCCGCGTGCATGCACTTTGTGCCCGAGGAAATCGAGCGTGTGCCGAAATGCAATCCCGCCATGCCCCGTCCCGGCAAGGAGCGGGAGCAGACGTCAAGGGGTCGTCTGCTACGATGTGTCATTCCTAAAGCGGAACCGAAGGGGAAAAAAAGTAGTTTTTCTGATAGAAATCGTGTCTCGCGGGCAACGGAATCAAGCACGAGCTTGAATTGTGAGCGTCTGCTATTTCACGAAGGAAGCAATTGACAACCAGTGTTTTATTTACACGCTTTTAGTCGCTCTGTTGCCGTACTGACGCTGAAATATACCAGTGTGAAAAGAAATGCCCAGAACAAATGCATCAGCGGCCCCCGAGATGTTTATCACAATCCGTGTGCGGGTGAAAAATTGAACATTCGTCAACAAAGATCCCCCAGCAGAAACCTGTGACTGCACAATACGGAGCCGAGAGATATAACTTTACCCGAGGCTTGGGCAACATCATATGCGTGCTACTGCGAGGGTGAATGCGCACTCACTCTCGCACTCGCACGCACGCTTTTGCGGGACCTGCGAGCTTTTATTTTATTTTATTTGGCATCTTGGGTGTCGGCCTGGCAGGCGCTCTCGCGTACCAGTTTTCACCCCTTTCTGTACAGCCTTGCACGCTACACACAGGATGTCCTTTTTAAGTGCAAATAATAATAATAACAAGAAGAAGAAGAATTATTATTATTACTTCTTCAACGCCAAATTTGGACGCATCTGCAGTTCTTATGGTTACCATCTGCTTTTCATTGGTAATAAAGAAAAAAAATGCAGGTGTTTTTTAACTGCGAACATTTTCATAAGCATTCTATCGTCTTCCAACACGTTGTGCGCCACGATAGCGTATGTACTTTTGTTTACTGAGAAAATATATATTCAAAATCTCGGTCATCATATTTCGAAGATACCTTCGCGCCTTCAGACGATGTACCGTTAGGAGTTATCGACAGCTGTGTAGCGGAATGGCGATCGACTCTTACACGAAAGCGACGGTCAGCTCGACGATATCGCCAAATACTAAAGTATTTGATATCGCTACCCCGGCCTCAATTATTTCGGCACGGAATTACAGAAATCGGAGGCCTTTGTATTACGAAAAGGTAATCTACCGTTACTTTCACTTCGAGTTTAAGCGTTTATTCAGACACGGTTCTATAACCCCAGACCCACCACTTTCCAATTCGAGGTCAAAAACCTAACTCGTTTCGATTGGTTCCCTAATGGGCTTTTGTCCAAAAAATTATAGGTCAATCGACTCTGTGAAGGTGGTTGGTCAGCGAAGTTGTGGAGAGCAACCTGCAAACCGGGAACGTATGCGGGGAGCATTACGTGCTTTGCATTGTTCGCGCGTGCCGTGCGAACACGCACGAACAAGCGCAATTGCGCGTATTCGCGCGTGGATTTTTTTTCTTTTTTTTAATTTAATGTCGACCATTTTGCTGTGGAGGGAGACGAAAAACCCCCGGGATTCGAGCCATACCGACGTCACCAGCCAGTTTCGCAACGCCACCGCTGCCGCGATGCGCTGTCTTTCTGCACGTGCGATAACCATCGCTGAAGCTCTGTACGTGCAGAGCGCGAGCGACAGCGCGCACCTTGCGAGCTGTATCGTGTAGGGTGCCTTCATGTGCGCTTTGCTTAGGGTGGAGACATCTCGCCATTTTGTTCCCGACTTTTATTTTTCTTTTTTGTTCAGAAGCGCGTGAAAGGGCGTGTCCCTGCACGCGTGTGTGGCGCTGACTGTGCTACGGCGCCATTGTTTTCGGCGATTTCTTTGTATTTTCCCCGTGAGCGCGTGCTGTCGGCATCGGGTACTACAAAGGGTGGCATCACTCTAAACAGAAGGATATTGAGGCACCCTAGTATCGTGCACTGCCAGCTGCCTCCTGAGAACTAAAGCTATTGCGCCGTTACGCACGCGCAGAACGTTTGGTGAAATCGGTGTGAATTTAGTACCTGGGATAGTTCAGCTGGACAGACTTAAATTGCAAAAACAAATAAATTATGTTTTTTTTTTTTTAATCTTCCCTTTTTTTTTGGGGGGGGCTTATATTCGCAAGGAATCTGTGAGCATGAAATAAGCTTAAATATATTTGCTGGTGCTGTTAAGCAAGCACATATATAGCGGAATGCGGCTGAATCGCCTGACTGAATCGTAAGACCTGACTAGTCCTTGTAGGTAATCCCTGCAGTGACATATGCCTGCTACCACCAAAGGAAGAAAACAAGATCAATGAGACGGTTGTTACGAGTTTGATTTCTCACGGATTCTAAACGTACGTCTTTAATGCTGCGAAAGGGGATGAATCCCGGGCACTCGGAGACTCGAGTACTGCCTTTCGGAGCTCTTAGTGCCCTTCTGTGGTAAGACGGTGTTTGATTAGTCCCGGTCCCACTCACTTACATTCTTGATTCTTAATTCTTTATAATTTGCTCTCTCAGCCGTATCAGCATTGTTGAATAAGTATACACAAATTTTATTCAACTGCTATATCATACAATGAACACGGAACAGCGGGAGCATAGAGTGACAGGGCGAGAACGTTGTACGAGCTGGAGGGAACGAAGCATTAGAAAATTTGGAGTGGAGTGGAACCTGTCCATTCCAAGCTTTCGGCTGTTTCCGTTTTAGGGGCGAAGCTCCCTAGGGGCTATCTATGTGCGAGCGAAGCCAAAGCTAAAAGCGCGAGATCAGCGCTTTTTGCGTTTCTCCCCAGCTCGCGCGCTCGAACAAAGCCTGAACGCACGGAGCTTTCGTGCTCGCGCTTCCAGCTTTGCCTTCGCTCGCACATACGGTGAAACGAAGTATAGCCATCTCCGTATGTCCGTCCGCAGTCGGGTGCACGTGCTCCTGCTCGTGAGCTCACGCGCTCACGAGCACGTGAGCACGTGCTCCCGTGCTCGTGTAGGGCAAAAAAAAAAAAAAAAAAAAAACAACCGCATCTCCACGTGGTGAATGATGTTGATTGAGGCGAAGCTCTGGTGGTGTTTGTCTGCATAGACGGTGACGGCAGCATGCCGAGGCTTTCGTTCGTTTTCATCGATGTCAGAAAGAGAATGTGTGGTATGGAACGTTGTTATATACGCATTTGACCGCAGCGTGACATGGATGACAACGAACGAAATGCTCGGCATGCTGCGGCTCAGCGTCTACGCAGACAAGCAGCACCAGAGCTTCGCCCCAATCAACATCATTTACCACGTGGAGATGCGGTTCTTTTTTTTTTTTTCAGTTCGTGCATTGTTCTTGACGTGCCACAAACCATATCAGGAAAGCGGTGGCAACTATTTCGTCGAACCACGTTTCCTCAGCACACTGTTCCAGCTGTGTTTTAATTACAATTCGAGTCATCGAAAGGAGTCTTAGGAGCCCGCTATCGTCTCATTGACACGTGCCGCTTCGTAGGCAGCTGTTTTTGTCATTCTACGCCACTACGCACAAATGGTGGCCAGGTGGCGCAAGTTGCCGCCCGGTAAAAATGGTTCAGATGCATTAATGGATCCAGTTATGATGTACAAAGAGCTGATGATGAGTTAGTCAAGGGTAGTCAAGGGCTGTGTTCCAAAGATTCCGAGTTACCCCGGCGGGTCGTGTCACGTGACAACACAAATTGAAAAACGCTGGACGCGGGTAGGTTTTAGAACGCCAAGGTACAAAGCCCTTACTCTGGAGTAGGATCGAGTAAATTTTGGAACACGCCGGAGCAGACCAAAGACAGGAGATTAGAAGATAACAGTGAACCGGACCCGGACCTTCCGAGCCGCTCGTCCCGTAGTAGGTCGCCTGTTGTCCGACGCCATAGCTGCTATCTGCGCGACATCCGGCAAGCGAAGTTTTCATTCTCCGTCAACTCTGCCGTCTTTGCTTTGCTGCGTGGAACCTACTGCCATGGCTGGGTGAGTGCATATTTTGTTACGCTATTTTAGATAACAACTGAGGAAAATTAATGTACGAAATGAGAACAGTGACAGAAGCTGCGCTGGCCCCGTTGAGATCATGGCTGAAGTATTTGGCGGTCTTCTTTCCAGGCGTTGTCACTGCCCGCCATAATCGGGAGTTCTACCGAATTTCTTTCGGTATGCAAACAAATAGCGTCGTCGGCACTGCACAAGCGCTGAACGCATACCTGATTTGAGGTTTTGCGTCGGTGACCTGCCCCGAAAAGAAAACAGCGCGGTTCTCGCGGTGTGCGAACGCCGACATCCAAGTCCGGCGTCGTTTGAGACGGAACGAAGTGCGTAATGGCACTCCCCGAGATAGCAAGTGGCAGCTGCCCGGCTGCCCCGCGAACGCGATTTTCAGTACTAGACAACGCGCTCTGGACGACTTGCGTGAGCAGTAGAGACCGCCCGTGCGAAGACCATGGCGAAGACGATGTCAACAAACACGACCGCTCGTGTCGTATTCCCCTATTGAAATGAATTATCGAAGTCATCCAGGCCAAACATTTTTTTTTTATTCAAGCTTTTTTTTTTGTATGATTAATAAAACAATGTCTAGAATGCCACCGGCTCTATTGCACTAAAGGCCCTTTCACACTCTTGCAACCAACTACGACCGAAAGAAAAAAAAAAAAAAGAAGAAAAAGTCGAATCTGCAGCGTGGTTAAGATGTCCGCCTAATACCAAAGCGGTCGCGGGTTCGAGCCACAATAAAACTTACTTTTTTTTTTTTCTTCTTTTTTTAAAGTAGCGGCATTTGACGATATTTACGACATTTATTTTTTACGATTAACATTGAAAAAAAAAAAAAAAAACGATGATACACGCGCTGTTCGATAGTGATACACGCGCCGTCCGACTCTTTCCGACGGAACTTATAGGCCCGATTGGAGTGCCGTCGGACGGCACTGTAGACAGCCTTAAATCTAGTGATGGGACGAATTGTTTTCTGAACGAGATTCGGACTCGATTTGGGGAGATTCGGAAAGCTTTGGATAATTGACCGAATCTTCTAGTGATTCGGTTAGATTCGGCATATTTGTTGGTAATACTCATACAAATGGACAAAAAACAATTGCGGCAGGAAGGCTTTTGCATTTGACCACTCACGCTTCGATGGCGCCACCAAGAGTTCTAGTTCTTGGGCCCCTGTCTCTCTCTGCCCTTCCTCTCCCCTTTTCCAAAGGCACTCTTTTTTTGGTATCTGAAAGGCTTTTAAAAAAAGGAGGCTATGCACCATCTCTCAATATCAGCACCATACACGGCTCTTGAGCGAAACCAAGTCATCTAGGCCGGTGTCCATAGCTAAAGCATTTAAAGTTCTAATTTGCACCATATATGTCATACATCATAGTTAAAAAAAAAAAAATTTACCAGTGAATACATCAAAATAAACTATAAATGATCGCTGGAGAAGGGGAACGAGGGGACAATTAGGACCAACAGAAATCTCCAACAACAGCGATGTGACTGGTGCGTGCGGAAGAAATTCACCAGGACCAGGCAAATTTTTTCAGTGCGCACCAGTAACATAGTAGTTGACGGGAATTCTGTTTGTCCTAATTGTCCCCTCATTCCTTTTCTCAAGAGATGATGTATTGTTTACTCTTATATAGCTTGCCTGCACCGCCACATTAATTGCATTAACAACACAACACCACAGTGAATACACGTGTGAAGGAAGTTTCAAGTTTACTACATGCATGGGCTGATTATTTTGGCTTGGTTTACTGCGACATTCAAGATCAAATTCAATTTTGTCTTACATTGGCCTAAATTTCCCTTTCATTTCAGAGATGAGGACCGAAGATTTTCGGTAGTCGAATTCACGTCTGAAGGCTGCAACGTATCGATAGTACCAAGCAGCTGGGTTCTTCATTCAAAAAAGGAATGCCTCTGGCCGCCATTGATGCGGGGTTCCTCTGTAATGGACCTCGTCCGTGCTTGTTCCGAGCCGGGGCAAGGCTGGAAGAGCTACCCGGCAAACATACTTGCCAAATGCAGTAAGTGATGCTTTTATGTTTTTGGTATGTCATCAAGTTGTTCCTTTATTTCTCACACCCACAAGTACTTAGGCAGCCCAGGTTCAGCAGGATGTCTAAGCAGCTCCGAGTTAAGAGTAAAGTCTGCGACTCATTTTGCTGGAAAATCCAAATTTTGTTTCAGTGTCTTTTGAAGTGATCCTTTCACAAAAGTACAGTTGAGTGCACCGTGTGTAAATATTGGTGTGTTTAATACATTCATATCCATACTATTTGCGCGAAACTGGAAGGGTCGTCTGCATTGAGAACTTTCATTTTAGAACACACGCTTAAAGACCCTAGTCAGTTTTTCATGTGAAGTGGTCGCACTCGGTCACGTGGCATGCACATGCTGCTCGTCAGAAAAAAACATTTGGCCTTGGAGCTGGAGCGTTCTGTCTCACCTGCTTAGTACCACGTCTGCAGAAGCTCCCTTTGGCTAACAGGTTGGGCAAGCATAGCTTCTTTTTCTCCTAAAATTGTCATCATTCTGTACTCCTTACACTCTAAAAAAAAGCCTGTGCGTCTTCTTTCCCGTAGAACACGCGGACCAGGCACGTAGCCAGGGGGGGGAGGACGCCCCCCCCCCCCCCCTTTCCGAAATCTTCCATTTTTCTGGGACCTCCTCTTCCCCCTCCCCCTCATACAGCACTTTGTCATGGGCGGGACCTCCCCAAAACAAAATCCTGGGTACGTGCCTGACGCGGACAGCCAACACTGCTGTTTGCAGGATCAGTTCAGCGAATGACAATGCCGAAACATATATGTTTAGACGAAAAAGCGAAGTCTGCGATGTAGCATCACGCATGCAAGTGTGACATTTTGCATTGCTTAATGCTACGTTGCAGACTTCGCTTTTTCGTCTAAACATATGTTTTGGCATTGTCATTCGCTGAGCTCATTTCGCAAACAGCAGTAATCAGCTGTCTGCGTGTACTGCAAGAAAGGAAACGCACGGGCTTCTTTTAGAGTGTGTGGTTCAGAGTCACTCCTTAGCTGCATTGAAACATTACTTGCTCCAAAAGTAAAGTTTTGTGCTCGTAAGACCTCCAAAACTGAACTGTGCCGAAACTTATACTATCTGTCCTACAGCTTTTCGGAAAGTGTTTCTTCTTGCTATTGTTTATATGATAATGATGATTTTCAAAGCAGTACATTGTGATTTTTTTTTTCATGGTAATATCTTTGATATTCAGTTACGCTTTAATTTTTTTGTGCACATTGCTGTAGAAATATCTGTGTTTTTTAGGGCAAGATATATTTTTGGCAGAAATATCACAAATGGTGTTATGTTATGAATAAATGAAGAACTCAGATATAGTCTGCAACAAATTGCACAACAATAGAACAAGTGGTTTATTGTTAAAAAGTGGGACATTGTGCCCCATTGGGACATATGTGTCCCATTGGGACATATGTGTCCCATTGGCAGTAACACATATTCCATAAAAAGGGACATATTTGTCCCAATGTCCTTTTATGGTTCCAACCTTCAGTTATTTATCAGCAGGCCCTGCGCATGGAATGGTCCAAATCATGTCTCACACAGCGGCACAGCATAGGCGACACGCAACAAACTTGTGCGAACCTCTCTTTTCGTTGAACACCAACGGCACCGGCACCTCTTCGTCGCCTTCTGGGGTGGTGCTCCTTTCCCAAAAACCCTACCTCGTCGGATGCTCCTACCATTTTCCGTCCACTCCTGGAGCCTTTCTTGTTGATGTGAAACGGCATCTTGTTGTTCGAGCACTTGGAGGTTCGCCCATTGATCAGTTGACGGCCAAGCACAAGTTGAAACCACAAGTAGCCCTTTTTGGTCGTTGCCTTGACTTGGATGAACGCATTTACTGTAGCTGAGTCCAGAAGAAACTTTTACAAATCCGATACCATGACTTCTTCGATCACCTGTCGGCTGGGTACGCAGCTCTCATTTGATCGAACTTATCAACTCCCCCCTTATAGATGTCGTAATCTGATATCGCTTTTGGACAGTTCACAGCAACCGAGGAGCCATTGGCAAGTTTTCTCACGACTTCTTCAGTGTCCTTGGGGTCGTAGAAATTTGAAAGTGCATGAACGTTCTTGCAGTCACGCCACTGGTAAGCAGTGACATTCCGCTTTGACCTCTAGATAAATTCACTTCTCTGAAGCTTGTTGTCTTTTTTGATTTCATCAGGCAGATCTTTCCAATTCGTCTGCACTGTTTCCACCGCTAGGATGTTCCTCTCTGCCAGATTTTCCATTAGCCCAGTGGAAGTAAAAAAAATTGTCGAAAAACGGCTGAGTACCGGGCTTCACCTCTTTTGTCAGTGATAAGACAACATGTTCACCGAGACCCTGTTGGCAGGTCGATTTGCATATTTTCCTTCATACACTTGAAACTCTAGCAGGCAACCAGTCTCAGAGTCTGCTCTGCACCAAACTTTATAACCTCTTTTTATCAGCTTCATGGGTTGATATTGTTTTAAAGATGATCCACCTTTAAACCGGATCTCATTCTCGTCGATGGCTTGGTGAGCCGATGGCGTATGTTCATTCTGAAAGTTCTTGTTCAGCAAGTCAATGAGAGGGTGCACCTTCGCGAGTTTGTCGTACCCGTTCTCACCCTTCTCTTTTACTTTGCGCTTGTTGTTCTGATGCAAGCAATTCATGATAGCTTGAAATCGTTTGAATGACATAACCTTTGATCTTTCAGGAACGTTCGAAAATGCATCACTGCTCCAGGACAGGTGCAGTTGATGAGGTTCATATTCATCACGATCAAGATATCGAAAAGGCCCGTAGCTCATCATTGTCATGTTTGGCTTTTCTTCATCTTATCCACTAGCATCTGTATGATGTTGTCATCAAAATAAAGGGCAAAAGCTTCAGCTGGGTTTGTAGGCGACTTTGCGGAATACACAGGATACCAAGTTTTAGGGTGGTGCACGACTTGTTCGGGCTTAGTGCTACTCGATACTCCGGGTGCCTCTTCCTCGTCTTCAGCCCCATCTTCAAAAGCTTCTCCAGCTTGTTTCTGCTTCTTTGACTTTTTCTTTGCGTACGCCGCCCGGCGTTTTTTTACGTTTAGTAGTTGACGGCACTGCTTCATCTTCGCTACCGTCCTCTTATGAATCGGGAGATGTAAGCTCGGAGACGAAATCAGCATCGTCGCGGTCGCCATCTGAATCCTCGAGTTGGCGTCATCTGGGAGATTAAAACAGCTCCAGCGCTTCTTCAGGCGTGAGAGGGCCTTTCCCTGCATCAGTATGAATACAATTCGGTCGAATTGTTGTAATTCCGACCGCAATCGAGCAGGTAATGATGCAACTGTTCGGGCGGTGATTGGGAGCGGCAGGGCCAAAAATTGTGTTCCTGATTTCATGTGATTGCCAGACTAGCTTGCCAAGCTGAGAGGCTTCCCAAAAGCAGAGCACAAGATTTTTAAAACCCCCGAGCGGAGGAAGCCCACAGGCTCGAGCTTTTTACCTCACCGCACGAGGGGTGACTGTACATAATGAGGTCTGTTAAGAAGTCTTGCTTGCTTTTCTCAACCCGGCTCAATTGCTGAAACAACCTTTCGCTCAAACTATCTCTGTTCGCTAAACCCATCATTGACTAGGACGTTATTAAACCATCAAATATAGACCTAGAGCGAGTATTTGCCGCCTCCTCCCCTCTATTTCTTTTTTTTTGCTCGAATACCATTTAGTTAGCCGCATTGCGAAAGTTGGGCCTTATTTTTATACCTCTCACTCCAACTTTTAGAAATTAGCATTTATTGGGAGCTAGAGATGTTCCCCTGAAAGCACAGAAAAGGAAAAACTCACCGGGCATCTTGAATAATCTCTGAGCGATCACATGTGGGCAAAACACACAAGACATACCCATGAAAAAGAAAATTTTCAACTTTTTATGGCCGTCATGCCATCTGGTGCACGACTGCAAACTCATTGCCAGGTGAAGGGTTAGAAGCTCTGGAAGATGGCTGCACCAAAGAAAATGGGATGCAAGTGTCTCTTTGTTGTTGATACAGACTCTTGTGTATATCATGAAGTGGGACGTATATGTCCTACTGTCTAACAAACGGCGAACCAGTTGGCAAAGTTGTAAGTGAAACACACAAAAAAAAAGAATAAGAAAAGAAACACGTTGAAAAGCGTGCAGATCTTATTGATGCAAGAGCACTGGGATAAAATGCGAGCAAAAAGCACTCTCACAGTGTTGAAGCACATTTGTGTGCAGGACAGCTCTTGAGGAGTCTATTCTACAGGATGTCCACGGGAAATCCAAACTTGTTTTCGCACCACAAAAATAAACAGCATTGTGGAGAGCTCCAACTTCGTCAGAATGTAGCCCCCATCCGTTGCAGCAAGATGTCAAAGACTCGACACTTAACGTTACCAAAATAACAAGTTAGAACTGAAAACTTCTTTCGTCTATGATAGGACGCCGTCTGGGGGAAGCGGCAGGCGGAAAGCCACTGTTTGTCACCAGATCCCACTGGTGGCATCTCTATCGGCATTTGCGAAGACGAAAACAGATGACGTCTACATTGGTATTTATCGGGATGCCTTTTGTAAAAAACCCCCTGAGTGACTACAATTTCAGGTTCTTTATTTAGTTTTGTTTCCTTTAACAACTGACAAAGTTGGGGACAATTATACAATACTTTTGTCAGGTATTGTAACTTTGCCGCCAATCGTTCTGATTAGTCAAGCAAGGGACCGCGGGAAGCCTTCAGTGCAAGTGGCTCCATCTGTGAGATGCGGTCGCAAACATTGGCATTCCATCTGCCGCTTCCGTTGGGTAGCCCATCCTCTCGTAGACAAAAACAATTTTTCACTTGTATGTGGCAAGTGTTGAAACTTTGACATCTTGCTGCAATGGCTGGGGCTACATTCTGACGGAGTTCGAGCTTTCAGCAATGGTTAGTTTATTTTTCAGGTGCGAAAAACAGGATTCGGATTTCTCGCGGCCATTCTGTTAATTGCCCCCCATGACTAAGTAAGTGGCCTCAGGTCCCGTATTCTAGGGCTCAATAAAGAAAGCTGCAAATGTATGGATAATACAGGAGTGATTGGCATTGCACATGTGCAGTGGTTATAGACCCTTTTCATGGCAAACGCCACCAGGATGTGTTCTAGTCTTTTACGTCCCAGACAACTTCCGGTTCATAAAAGTATGAACAAAGTCCAACTAACACCGCTGTTTGAAATGTCAATGAAACGTTTAACCACCAATTCTCCAGGTGAACGCCAAAAGAACGAAGAAGCCCGAGACATGTTAAATATTTTCTAATACTCTTGTAAACCAAATTGCCTCCTCCAAGACGTTAAATTGACCGGCCGAGGACCCTCGTTAAATCTCCAACTTTGATGTGTGTGTAGCGTTTATACTTTCTAGCGCTGGCGACATGGGCAAGATCGACGGACTTGCAAAGACGGAGCGACCGGAAGTTGCTTGGGACGCAGGAGGCAGTTCATGTTTGTAAACAGAAAAAGGGTCTATACACTAGGCATGTGCTCTCTTAAAAGCTTGTTTTAACAGGGCGCATCTACTATTCCGTCGAGTATTGGTCCTAGGCGCCTAGCCTAGGACCAATACGATACACACCTTTTTTTGCCGATGCGCAGTTTTCGCAATATCGAATTCTTCCACCTTTCGTGAAACACCTTGTATATACAGGGTGTGTCACGAAAAGTGGACAAATCGGATATGACGAAAACTATGCGTCGCAACAAAAAAAGGCTTGTGTCATTATGGTCCTGTGCCAGGGGCCTATCTAGGAAAATTATTAATGTCCGGAATAATTAGATTGTTAATTATTTTTGCATAATTACCTTTGTTAATATTGTTTAAGGGTATGATTTCAATTAGAATATTGATGAGAATCATCAAAAAACACTAAATCCACAAATTGCAGAACGATAGGAGGGACGCGCGGTATTTTACAACTTTCTGAAAAACCGCACGAATTCAACGGGTTTTTAAGTTCCGGTTTGCAATCGGAGCGCACCTGGGCCCCGAAGGCACTGCGGCCCGTGGAGAAACAGCGCAACCAACCTCTGCTGCGCTGTTTCTCCATGGGGCGCGGTGCCGCCGGTGCCGAGAAGCGCTCAGATTGCAATCTGAAACTTAGAACCCGTCGAATTTGTGTGGTTTTTCAGAAAGCCATAAAAGGCTGCGCATGCCTTCTATCATTCTGCTATTTGTTAATTTAGTATTTTTTGATGATTCTCATCAATATTTTAATTGAAACCATGCCCTTAAACACATTAAAACGTTAATTACACAAAAATAATTAACAATTTAATTATCCTGGACTTTAATAATTTTCCTAAATGGGCCCCTTGCCCAGGACCAAAACGATACAAGCCTTTATTTGCTGCGACGCGTAGTTCTCACAATATCGAATTTGTCTACCTTTCGTGAAACACCCTGTATATGCTAAGAACTTTTATTCTAGGTTTACATTACAGGCACGAGTTCTATTATTGTGAGGCAGGTTTTGCAATAATGAATCTTGCAAATTCGTTTCCTTCTTAAGAGACCTACAAGAAAGCCAGCAAAAAACTGGTGGAAGCCGAAGAAAATTCATGCGTCGAGAACACAGACGCTGGTGAGCATGGAGGTATGTGTTGAATACTGTCCATTGGCAACTTAAGCTTACATACTTTGTGGAGCTCCCTTTCACTGTGACCATTTTGTTTTACTAGACACAGACACCCCTGTATTCAATCGCTCCACCCTGAAGCGGACCTTGCCCACTCTGTGTAAGTTTTCTATTACAAAAAAAAATGAAAACGTTAGTTAGTTGCAGCTTCTACCTAGAAGGGCATTAAAACGGTGTTAAACTTTACGATTAGGTAGCCTAATACCTACAATCCACGAATTAACTTTTCACAGTTAGCTTATTCAGAGGGTGTTCTTTATCCATTTGTTAAAGTAGGCTACAACAGTTAAATTATACTGGGGAAAAAAATCTTGCCTTGCTATTTTCACTGAAGACATCAGACCGCTAAAGGTCGCCATTTCGAAGCTTTGCAAAAAGAGCTGGAAGAGTGTGACACATGTTCCTTTAAAACCACATGATGCCTTTGTATTGCATCTTGCCACTGGCCAGTGACAAGATGCAACAGGGTAGCAAGACGATCTTGCTACCCTGTTGTGCAAATGTAGCCACTGGAAGTTCTCGATTAAGCAAGAGACCTCACCTTCACCGGGTGATTGGGGCTATCAAAGCTGTAGGATATATCTGTCCTCACCTTCACTTCTCATGTTGTCATCTTTCATATCTTCAGTCTCGTGTTGCTTCAAAATGTGAAATATTTTTTGCTCTATAGCCGTCGGAAATTAAAGAAGCCCGCTGCATTTGAGGATCCGTATAATATTTACGAAAGCATAGCATCGCAGGGTAGGACTGACGCAACTCGCCAAAAGCACTATTCGACGAAATGGCAGTCAATAGTGAGCCACCTGGTCACTGATAGCAATTATGGCATACTTTCCAGGGGATCATGGCATGTAGCCAGATAAAAACATGCTATACTGCACATCGGTGCAGTTATACATGTTTCTAGCCGCTCTGCGATTGGACCTGGTGGCCCATAGCTTTGACTTTTAGTCTGTTGTAGGAGGAGGTGGAATATAAATGGTGTTGACAAACCACCTTCTATTGAAAGAGAATTTTGGCAGAGGGTAACAGTGACGGTGTGGGGCATGTTACCGACTTTTCTTTGGCTTCTTTAAAATGAGGTGGAAGATGTGGGGGCTGACTCGCAGAGCGGCAGGGTGACTGGCCTAGCTGAGAGTGGAAAGCGTGCCTTAAGCACTATTCGGGGGGCTTGACGGGGCTCGTGAGCACCTGTAGTTCGTGGCTCTCGCCTTGACCATTTGCGGTGTTATGCAAGGTTCACGCTTGTCGTGATTTATGACTTGCAACTCTCACGAGCACCACGGCCACCTCAGACGACGGCCGCCTTGAGCCCCACAGCCACGTAGACACCAGCCACTCTGTGCCATGATTTCCCAAGGTGGACACTGATTGGTATTGCGGCACTGTGCTTCCTTAAATATAACCTGGATCCTCAAAGCCAGTGAGGTTTGACGGGCATTTGAAAATATCTGGTGGCCACTTTAGGCAATGGGGATAAGGTGGTGAAGCTAGATGCCGAAAATATTAGAGATCAGTCATGCACTAACAGATTATCCCCCTTGTGCAGTGAACACGAGCATTACTTCACGGCTGCACTTAATACTTTTGAAAATATAATGACTGCAAGAGCTTTTCTAGAGAGTGACTACAAACCTCAGATGTAAACATCTGTTCAGGCAAATTTTTAGAAAAAGTAATTTTGCATTATTGGTGATGGCCTTTCTAACTGTCGCTTCACACTCGTCATGTGTCATAGTTGAAACCTATCAAAAAACAAAATTGCCATAAGCATTTTTTTCAAGTGCTTGCATTGGTTGAAACCCTGCCTATTTTTATTTTTGGAGCATCTTCATTATTACATTTGATTGAGAACTTGCTAGAAAGTATCAAAAGTAAAGGTCAATAAATTCCTCAAATTAAAAAAAAAAAAGAAACCTTATAAAAATAAATTACTTGAACGTGAAAATTCAACAGAGGTCTATCTGGTTGGATAAATAATAATTAAGAAGAGACGACCAATCAAGCCCTAAAATACAGGGACCCGACGTTTCGAGACCTACTCGGACTCTTCTTTAGGGGTGATTGCGGCAATGGCCGTTAAGGAGCACTGCTGTGGATGTTCTTTTTCCTCTAGCGTGGTGTTTTCCTCTTTGCATCGGTGATGCGTTGAAGCCCATTTACGTATGCGGATGGTAAAGCGTCAAGGGATCTGTTCATGTTTCCTGACGTGGTTTGAATATGCCAGAATTTTAAGAAAAGTCTTTGCCAGGAATTGGGTTCCATTGCGATGATATGCGTGTTCATGAAATCAATACTCCAACCACCCAGCCAGTCACAAAGCATTGGTAGTCAAGGCACTCCTCTCGAGAGCGAACACCATCTGCTCATCCGAAGAGGGGAGGAGGAGGGGGAAAGAAACAATCTTTTCCGACCTCTGGAAGAATGGCGACACAAGTAGCTTTATGAACCATATTGCCCGTCGTCAAGGCCTCGATTGACACCGACAGCCACCGACAAATGCGCAGTCTCGCCCAACCACACGCATCTGTGCCCCTTACATAAAAGGAACAAGTGAGGCGGTGGCACGAGTGCTGGCTAAAGAGGGGATTTAGATGGCCCACAAGCCAATCTCCATGCTTGGACGTTTTATGCCCCGTCCAAAAGACTGTCCTTCTAAAGAGTGAGCATAAGGAGTTGTTTATAAGATTCTTTGAGCGCATTGCTCGGCCACATACATCGACAAAACAAAAAAACTTTCACAAGGGGATCCGACTGCACAAAACCGACGTGCGCGATTTCGATCACAAGCGCAGCACGGTCGCTGAATACAGTGATGTCAACGACCACCGGATTGATTTCGAGAACATATGTATCATCGCAATTGAACCCAATCCCCAGCAGAGACTTTTCTTAGAATCCTGGCTTATTCAAACCCCGCCAGGAAATCTCAACAGATCCCTTGGCTCTTTACCATCTGCATGCGTAAATGGGCTTCGTAACATCACCGATACAAAAAGAAAAGCATCACGCTAGAGGAAGAAGATCCACAGCACTGCTCCTTAACGGCCATTGCCACAGTCACCCTTGAAAAAGAGTTTGAGTAGGCCTTGAAACGTCAGGGCCCTGTATTTTAGGGCTTGGTTGGTCGTCTCTTTTTAATTATAAAAATAATAATTTTGTAGTGTTGCAGTTCAATTAAAATTCTGCCTTTGCAGCGCCTAGCCGGATCGGTGCTCGTTCACAATGTAAGTTGCATTCTTACACATGATTTTCAAGTCAATAGCTATACGTTTTACAATACTTTTGGTTGCTAGAAAGATGTTCTATCAACGTAAAAGTTTGGGCTAGTTGGTATACAGGCCTTAGTAAAAACAAAACAGCGCAAAGACAAGGACGAAGTAAAAGGTAACTGCCGTGTCCCGTCGGTTGCCTTTTACTTCATCCCTGTCTTTGCCTTTTTTTGTATTTAATTATACTGTATCAGTGTTAGGCACCATGTCGGCATAAATGTAACGTTGCTATATTTAATGTAAACTCACTATGTTATTAAAGATTAAAAAATGCAGCCATAAAGTACAACCTGCAGATTTTTTAACAATATCACGCGAGTGCCGAATGGCTGCAATATCTGCGCATCACCACGGCGTGAATTGGCGAAATCAAGGAGAGTAAGCGCGTGCACAGAATGCAGCATCAGTGTTGGGATCGCCTGCTAGGCTGTTCCCTCAAGCATGATCCACCCCTGCTCCTGTTACCCGGTCTGCACCCCCTTCACTCCGGCCCTATGGTTGTCCTGTCGGGCCTGGCAGGAGCAGGGTTAGGATTGGTTGAGGGAACAGCTCGCAGGCGATGCCCACTGCGATGTGGCTTCAGCGCGCGCCGTTATTCTCCTGGATCTCGCCAGTTCACGCCGTGGTGACGCATTGATAAAGCGGCCGGCCGACGCTTGCGCAATATCGTTAAAAAATCTGGAGGCTGTACATCTGCATAAAAAGCCATCTAGGCACTTGCAGGCTCAGTGGTTTAAATTGAAAAGTTTGTCATCTATATCTTTAAGACTGCAAAGAGAGCTGCTATATCATGGTTTTATCTTGCGCTATGGCAGTTCAACAAGTCCAAAAACCCCTTTGTAATGTAAGGCCCTGTAACAGGGCAAAACAGAGTTTCAGGTGTTGGAACTAGTTTCTCACTAATAAATTGCCAAGAAGTGTAAATTGCTTGCAATGCTTGTGACCATTTAAACGTGACACTGAACATACAATTCTTCAGCCCTGCCCAGGCGCAGCCCTCCCCAGCAACCAGTCAGCAAGAGGAGGCTTTTCGAGCCCCTAGAAAACTCCACACCTCGTAAGTCTGTCACAGTCAGGTGTTGCACCTATGGGCCACCACGACTGAACCAGAATTTCTCATACATAAGAAGAACCTCGTTGATGTCTTTTAAAGGACAGCTAGAAAAAAATATGTAACTTGGGGAAACACGAAAAGCGAGAGGACCCTTTGGTAGACTAGAGATTAGAGGAAAAGCAACTATCATGCTAAAATTTATCATGCCGAAAAGAAAAAAACAAGCCACAAGCATTGCTTAGGTGAATTTCGGTGAAACTGATGGTGAACAAGGGTGTGAGGAGACATGCCCCTTCACAAAGGCATGACACCTCACCTCTTTTCTCTTTTAATCTTTTTGTTGTGCATCCAGATTTACCATTTATTTTGTTGGTTTTGTAAGTTGTCTTTTCACCTTGCCCACTTGGACCGTGGCGACACTGGTGGTGTACGGTGTTGTACAACGGTGACAAACGTGTGGTGCAATGTCTATTGGGGGCGTGCATCGTTATGGTGAATTCGGGTGGTCAATCATCGGCAACTTATTTTGCCGGGAAACCGGCAATAGTGTTTGCGTGGTCAATTTCCGGCCGGTGTGCACCGTTCGGGTGGTGGTTCTCCGGCAAGCACCGGCAACTTTCCGGCGCTTTTTTCACCAGAGCCCCGAACGGCCGGGCGAGTAGGCGCCAGACCGTATCCGGTGTCGTCGCTTCTGAAATGGGAGAGAAGGTCCGAAAGAAAAAAATGACCGAAAGAACGAAACTGATCTGAAGTCAGCTTAGCAGCCCCTACGAAAGTCAATCCAAGTCGTTGGGACATGGGTGACGGCGGCGACAGGTTCTCGCTAGGGAGGCTCAAGTGAGGGTGGGAGCAACTGCTAGATCGGGGATCACGGGACATGGACGCCATTTAATTGCTAAATTTTGCTGGGAGTCTATGGGGCAAAGGGTCGTTTTCTTTCCTAACTCAGGTCATAAGAGACCATTAAGGTGCTTGAATAATTTACAGAAGGTATAAATGATTACTTTTTCATAGCCCCCGGTTAAGTATTTTTTTACGCGAAAAATGGTAAATGCCGCCATCTTGGACGTTGCTGCTTGTCTGGCAACCCTGCTTTCTCCTCTCGACGTTTGCAATTCTCGGAGTGAGAAGGAAGCCAGAGAGGCTGCGCCAAGGCGTTCGTTGCTTGCAATGGGAGCCGAGAAGAGGAAAGGCGCATGGAGCAACTTTCTCGAATCCTCTCCCTCAGGCGCCGCCATTCAATTGCAAATGTTCTCCAGGTTTTGAGTTGTGCCCACCCTCACTAGAGCCTCCCTAGTTCTCGCTAGCGGTACTAGCGGTGTCGCGTGGGCAAGAGGCGAAGTAAACTGCCACGGTCTGGCATTTCGTGTTCGGGTGGTGAGGGTCGCGTGGTGCGGCGCCGGCGCGTTTCTGGTTGCTGGTTCCGCCGGCTCGTTCTCGCCGGCGATTGACCACCCGAATTCGCCATTAGTTTTTTGGGCACAAGAACTGGGAAGGAAACATAATAAGCTGGAAATTAATGCAGACTTCATCTGGGAGTTTGGCGGGTCCTGTGTGATTTTGATTGTAAAAGCCAGGAACATATCAGCGAGGTTCTACTGTTTTGCCAGGAGCATAAATTTATAACAGGACTTGTAAACATTTTTGTAAGAGGCTGATCGTGCAATTTTTCAGTCGTGCCCAGAAGCAGCCCCACCCAACAGCCAGCTTTTTTGGAGATACCCGAGGACTCTAGCTCTCGTAAGTGTGTCACAGTTGCATGTTTGTTTGCAGACAAATTGATTAGCTGATCAGGCCTTATTTTGCATATTCCATTTCACTATTGGTTCGCAGGGAGTTCACCATATATGTTTTCGCTTTGAGAACTGCAGTAAAAAAGAGTTGAGCTGCTTGCAGAGCATTCAAAATTTTCTGTTATATATACAAATTTAAATTCCTGTGTGCATTTAGTATTAGTAATTTGATATTTTATCTTAACAAACTTGTTTCAGATGCTAAAAGCACAGTTTTCCTTCTCGCAGAACCAAACTTTGCATGAAACTCTTGAGAGGAGAAACAAGTATAGTGTGTAGTACACAGTTTGCTGAAAATGCTTGACAGAAAGGAGACATTGGTTAAACCATGATGGTCCCCCTTACTACTGGACAGCGCCTGTTTGCCCATGCTCCTGAGATCGAACCTCATGCTCAACAATTTTTTTCTAGCTCTGCTTGAGAATGGGTCCCCAAAAGAGCCAGCGTCTAAAAGGAGGCAACTGGAGACAACACGAAGTTCCATGTCCAGTAAGGTTGCTGCAAGCAGTTGTCTTGCTTCTTTGTTTCGTTTGTTTCTTGGTTTCTTTATCGCTCAACCTACTAAGCATTTTAACAAACCAGAAATTACAATCCTGTCCATTCTCAAAGATCGCCGACGCGCCTTTTTTCCGGGAAATTTCACTGAAAAAGAAGTCGACAAAGGGTGATGTCGGCCAATTGCAAGCGATGGTGTTCTTGCGGCCAAATCTGTGCGTAGTTGTATCGTCCTTCTTAAATTGAGTTATAATGAAATCGTTAAGAGTGCATATATTAAGTATATTCATTTGTCCAGAGTGTGCACTCTGAAGAAATAGTCTAGTTGGTTTTCAACTCCCTTGGGTTTTATAGGTGTTTTTGTAATCTAGAACCTAATGTATGTTTTAACTCACACTTTTACAGTTCAAAGTAAACATATTCGACAGATATCTGCCTGGTTTTCAAAACCATGTTGGTTTTGAAATGTTGGGTTGCCTTTCAAATTTTGGTTGGAGATACATTTTTGGACTTTAGCCTTTTTACAGTTCAACATCGAAAACAATCTTCATTTTAAAAAATACCTCAGTGCCCCTTTAGATTTAGATCATTAGTGCACAAAGATTTTGCACATCAATTTTCTAGATGCCTCTTATAGTTTGGTGTGAGGTAGTTGATTATATCACCACGTTTTTTCTCATTATGTATGCCAGGGGTTGGCAAAGAAGGTTTGAATCTTATCATCTTTAAGAATTTTAGCAATTTGAAAAATGTAGCAGTAGCAAAAATGATATAGGACATCCGCATTTCTATGTTATCTCTGTACTATTATTATTGCATTGTTGGTCGCTATGATTAGGGACGATTGTCAATCATAGCAGTTTGTAATGTAATGCAAGAAATGATCATTGTGAACCAGCCTTGAAGGGCGAAGATACAAGTGTGAGTTCAAAGGAAAGAAAATGATTTTAAACTCGAACCCATTATCAATTTTTTTTAATAAAATGCCCAAATGGTCTAAAACACTCCAATTTGACATGAGAAAGCTAAATGCTGTTAGTGGTTTATAGGAGAGCTCTGGCTATAGTTAGACTTGAGCGTGTTGGGGGGTGATCTAAATTAACTTAAAACGAAAGAAACACATCAAGTCGGCTACAACAAACCTCTCCAGCCCTTTCCTTTCACTCTCGGAGAAAGAGATTCGCTCCCTGCGAGGGGGGGGAGCCCCCCAGCCCGCACGACTCTAGAGCTTAAAGGTTTGGAAAAACAACAGCAAACAAAAACAAACCGGGAAGGCCGCCCTCTGTTCTTACTTCTTCTTTCCTTCTGTTCTCGCTTGCCCCTCTGGTCCGTCTTGCACTTTCCCCAAGAAGTTCAGAAACGCCCACCCCACCCTCCCCCCGCTCTCTGCTGCGCCCCCGACGGCACGAAGTGGACGGCTAGCCGCCCCAGTAAATCTGTCGTTGCAAGTCGAAAGCTGTCCGTATCCCCAGTCTCGGGTTTATAACTATGCTCAATTTACACCAGCTAGCCTGCACCCTCACCATTGCTTCGAAAGCTGTGTCGTATTTTTCGTCCTCTTGTGTGTTTCTTTCGTTTTAAGTCAACTCTGGCTAGTATTTCACATTTAGCAGGTAGAGTAGCAAAATTTAACTAAATATCATTTGGGCGCACACAATTAATATTCATTATTTATTTAAAATTAGTTTATTTCAGTTGGTTTGCTCTCTCTCAGTTTATCATTATTTATTACCTTTTACACTAATAATGCCCAATGCATTTGAGCCTGGGTTTGCTGGGTTGGGTTGCATAGTGCTGGTGGCAATTTAATCAAACCATAGCACTTTCTAATTGTTGTTCCCCATGCATTTTCTTGCGATAATGGCCTTGTTTGTTTTTTGTTTGTTTTTTGTCTATTTCAGCATATGAGCGAGAGCACATGCGAGTGCTTCTGGAAGTACGGTTCGAGCTGCGGCAGCTCAAGGATCAGGGAGCCAGCATCGTAGCAATGCAGCAGCAACTTCTAGCTCGGATGGCGGACCTGGAGCAAGCCCAAAGGCACCCCGACTTGCCCGCTCCGCCAGCGATATTTGTCCTGCCGTTGTCTACGATGGCAGATTTTGAGATGGCCGAAACTCGCCTTGCGAATCCCGCTGACCAGGCTGTTCTGGTGATTATCTGGCGCTTTTTTTGTTTGTTTGTCTAAACTATTCAGAAAAGCAGCTGAAGTGATAGAACTACTACTTAAAAACTTAGGTTAGTATTAAAAATTTTAATTTTAGATACCTGTGGAGTTTTTTATACTCGGCTATATACTGCCTCTGCTTTTAAAATTCCTCCTAGCCCTTTTATTATCACTCCTTCACTTTTTCGTAACCAACCCATGCATGGGATGTATAGAGGCTCACAGTGCACAACGGATAAAGAATGGAAGAAAATTATAGACGGTTGCAAACAGATAGTGTTCCTCTGATTGGTTACATTAGTTTTATTAGCTTCACTACAGTTGCCTGACCACTGCAAAACTGCTGGTTTTGGCAGTAAGCAAAGTATAAAGTGGCCACTCACCATCTCCTGTAAATGTTTCTATCATAATAACTCATTTATCATGAAAGTAAAGAACTTATTATGAATGTAAAGAACTTAAGGATCTTGAACTGAGGTTTGCAAAATTTGTTGTTGGCGGTACATATAGATTACGATACATTCCAGGATCTCACAAATATTGTGAAGGACAGTAGACAGCACATGCATTTGAAATGCTAAATTAAGAAATACATCATTGAGAGCCTTGGGAGGCAGAACCTAATAGCTGCATTTAAATATTTATAGGTTCCCTGACTTCAGTTTTATATTTCACATACATATAAGATGTATGGTACAAGACTAATCTTCAATTTTGTAATATGTGTCAATTATATAGCATTGGTTGACTTGATAGGATGATGATAGTTCACATAACAGTTTTACATTGTTCAGACCAAACTGTAGCATTGAATATACCAGGCTTGTACTCTTAATATTCGACCTAAGGGTATTTGACTGAACAAAGTATAGTAAAGCGAGACATTGCGTGTTTCTATATTAACAGAAAGAGCAGCTCTCAAGCCTGGGGGGGAAGACATTGGTGGAGGCTGCCCGCCGGACGATGGAGAGGTTGATGCGGAAAAAGGTCCAGGTCAACTTCAGCGTCTGTGGACGCCGTGGGCAGAAGCGGGCCTTCCGAGGCACGCACATGTGCAGCGTGGCAGTTGGTGAGAGGTTCTCATTTCAATTTGTTAATAATTATATAATCTTTATTTTATCTCTGAACAGTGTCTGCATATAATAATTTGGACAATAGAAAGAGTTTCGTGGGCAGCATATACTACGGACGTTAGTGAAGATTTCGCCAGAAAGAAGTAGGATCTCTTTGCCACAACCCAAAAGACAGACACCCCACACTTCCAGACCACCAAGGCCATCAAACAGGCACGAAACCAGTAGGGAGCCCAAGGGGCCCAGCCCCCCCCCCCCCCCCCCCCCGCCCCGTCCCATAAAAAAACAAACAAAAAGACTTCAATTTTTCTGGGGCCTCCTCGCCCGCCCCTTCCCCTCATACAGCATTTTGTTATGAACGCCACGCCCCCCCCCCCCCCCCCCAAAACAAAATCCTGGCTACGTGCCTGCCATCAAACATCATTTCAGTTTTTATTGTACAGTTAAACCTCGATGTAACGAAGTCGGTAAAATTCGCAATTTACTTCGTTACATTGAAATTTCGCTAAATCGAAATTTGGCTTTAGCATGCAAAAAAAAATTCCGAAACATTTTACGGGTATGAAAACTCACCGAAAATGACATTTATTTTAAGGCAAAGTAGTCCGCGAGTTTTGCTTGCGCCTTGTCCGACAGTAGCAGCGGCGTCATATGGCGTTCGAGCGCCCAGAGCGCTTGCACGGCATCTTGCTGCCCATGCGACGCCGTGTACAGTACCTCCTCAGTACGTCCATTGCGTCGAGCACTTCCCGAGCGCTCGCGATCTCAGCAGTTTCTTCAGGATGGCGTCCAAAACGTTTGCTTTCTCATCCAAAGAAAGAACTTTACGTTTCCTTATGCCCCCAAGCACGTGAGTGAACCGCCCGGTTGAAAAATAAAGCTGTTTAGTTTAGGCGGTGCCAATGTTTCCAACCTACACAGCACTCTTGCCCGCACAGTTTACTTGCGCCCACAGTGTGCTTGCGCCTTTGCTTTACATCACGGTCGCAAGATGATAATCGGTCTTCTCGGTCTTCCCCTAGATGGCACTGCCCGTGCGGTCGCGATACGGCTCTGGGTCGCGCCATCACGTCGCTCCCCCGCTGAAGTTGGCTCCCGCGCTACCCGCGGTACAGTGGACTATGATGATCAGTGAATGTCAGTGGTGATGCTGTTATGCCGTGCAAACTTTTTGCTCGGCATTTTCTGGCCAGCCTCGCGGAATCCGCTTTGCCGCACGCCTCGCCGGCGCTACCGGCGCCGCATCCTCGGGCAGCCTAGGAACGTTGGAAGGCCTGTCCCTGTGAAGTAACCTATCAAAGCGCTCGCGTTTGCACATAATTTTTTTTTTAACCACAATTTTTTTTGCGAAGTTGTTTTTTAGAGTCTATTTATTTATTGCCTTCTATGGCAATGGCGCTTTGTTATATTGAAATAGCAGCAAAATAGACTTCGTTATATAGAGACTAAAAATACATGGGGTCTATGGGCAAGAAATTATGAAAAGTAAAATACTTCGTTAAATCGAGGATTTCGTTACATTGAAGTTCGTTATATCGAGGTACGACTGTACATATGAAACTTCATAACCTGGCAAAAAGGAAGCTCTTGTTCTGAAGCGGTCTGATACTTCTGTCATTTAGAACTCTGCTTGTTGCGAGCAGCTGGCAAGCATTGTTCATGTTATTAGGTCTTTATAATAGTTTGTGACCTGAACTCACTCCTTATACCTCCCACGATAGTGCGATTGTTTTCTGTACCGAACATAGGAGTTGCCAGGATGCAGCCACCACATTCTTGCTTGGGAGCTGCAATGACTGTTAAGTCATTGCAGCGTGGCTCTGTTTGGCCTTAGCCGTCTTGAGGGAACGACGCAAGGCATATTGGGAGGATTTTGTGCACTCATGTTATTTTTTAAAAATAGTGAAAATAGCGGACCCAAAACCCAATACATTGTTTGAATTTACTGCATGTGCAGCGATAACGGTGCTCTTTTCTTAACAGTGCAAATTGCTTGGGTATGGTATTCTAACATAAATGCTGGATCATTTGGAAGGAAAACACTGATTTTCAACTTGTAAATAGTGGTACAGTACCTGCTCTCCATGATTTTCCATGCAAGTTTAAGCTTTCTTGAAACTTTTGATTGAATATAGGGGCTGGTTTATGTCCAGTCATTTTATGATTTCCTAGCTGTAACCCCCAACTGTCATTATTGCTAAGGTCCTTCAATTCACCACACCAAACAAATTGAAGTTCTTCCTCATAAACACTTTTAGTTGTGCATTTATAACTGCACATAAGGTAGACTGTTCTTGAGAACTTGTTTTTGTAATCTTTATTCTTGTTGCCTTTCGTTCTGCAGCCATTATCACTAGCCAAGTTGCGGCCAAGATGGTAGATGTGGAAGGAGCCATCGGCGACTATCTGGCTGGGGCCCCGGATCGAGAGGGGGGCAGAGCCGAAAGAATGGCCAAGAAGTTCCTGGACCAGGCCATCCTGTCAGCCCAGCCAAACGACCCACCTGGCAACCAGCCCAGCGCATCAGGCCAAGGAGCTGGGCAACCAATTAGCCTGCCAGCAGCCTAGCAAAAGAATAAACTAAGGTCTTTGTAACGAATGACTTCTACGTGTCTGTGGTATCTACATATGTCAAAATAGTAAAACAGACAAAATTTTCTCATTCAGTTTACTGGTCTGTGATCATGAATTAAAAGGGATCTGTATGAAATCAAAGTACCGTAATATCCCGAGTCATCGCCCACCCCCCAACCGCCTGAAGTTCTTTAAAAAAGTGGGGTGGGCCACGTCTCGGTGTGTGAGCACAAACACTTGAAAAAAGCGGAAAAAACCGCCTATTTTTTTATGCGTATCTAGCGCTGATGCACAAGAGATACATCAAACTCAAAACTCGATTTAGTTTCATTGTTTTATAGAAAAAAATGCTCGCGAAAGAATATTTTACTATAGCGAAGTCCGATGCTTGCATTCGCGCTAGAAACACCGGTGATCTGCATATAGCACGAACGTTTGTTCCGTGAAAGAATATCACCATTATGTTCTCCTAGTTAGTAAAAAAAAAGAAAGAAAAGTCTACAAGAAAATAGAAAAACCGACCAGGCGCAACGAGCGAGCGAGCGAGCGAGTGGACCGAAGAAGCGACCAAGAGCAATGCTGGGAAAGCGGGAAAGCCGGCGGTCGCGTTGGCAAATACTTTGGCATCAGGCCAAGTCGGGCGCCTTGTCAATTGCAAGCCCTTGCGCAACTTTCTTGTTTGGTGCATACATACGTGCGTCCGCGCACGGCGGGCTATCAATGCACGGTTGGGGCGCTCTGCAAACGTCTGTGTAGGACGTTCCAGCAAAGCTTTATTTACGCATTGGCTTTGCCTAAAATATTGCACAACCGTGGTCGCGACGGGCGGGAAGAAGGAGCGGGTTCACGGTGACCTTACTTCGGCGGAGACAGCTTTGACCTAACACTCCGCGGTTACGTTAACAAACTCTTATTTTGTTATCTCCATCGTTTTCTTTTCGCACGGATACACGACCACTTTGGGGTCGTTCACGGAGGAAATGCGTAAACAAAAAGAAGTGTCTTTCCCTCCTTCGTTCTACTTTGTCACGGACGTCCTCCAACTGCAAGGTCCGCGGCCGCGTCATTCGGGTAGGATGAGTGTTCGCGGATCGCAGAGTCCACGCTGGGGTATTTGAAGGGGTGGGCGATGACTCGGTGTTTTTTCGGAAATCGATATTGGCCCAAAAAATGGGGTGGGCGATGGCTCGGGGATGGGCGATGACTCGGGATATTACGGTACACAGACACTCACGTAAATGCTTCATGTTGGCTGCTTTCATATCTTTCCGCTTAAGAAAAAAGAGAAGTGTCTGTAAACTTGTCAGATGAGCCCTTGCATGCATAACTTGACTGCATGCAAGCTGGAATGTTATGTGTAATTGTGCATAATGCTGGTGCACCTGCAAAAGCTGTGGTCGGGTGCGATATTTATATAATTGACTTGCCACATGGTCGTAACTGACACCAGGTACAGCCTTGGCACTGGGGTCCATTTGACCGTATAGCCAAGTTGGGCTGACCGGGTAACTACCCTGCTGGCCCGGGTTGAATTTCTATTGTTTAGCCAAGCTTGGCTGACCACTTCGCCACTAACCTGGCCCATACTGTATATACAATAGAGAGCCAAGGTTGGGGCACCACTGAGCTTCCTGCCTGGCCCAGGCCATAGTTACAGCGGTGAGCCAGTCCATGGCTATACGGGGAACTGCCGGTGGTCGCCAGATTGGCAAACCAGGATGGGGCTGCCTAACGCCACGGTGCAAAACAATCTAGGCCCAGTGAAACTTCCCCGGCTGCCCAGTCTGGCTCAAGCTTGAGCCGGTCATAATGTGCTGCTTGGGAAGTCATGTGTGACAAACGCAACGTTCACTTGTGCTTGACCAAGTCCAGAAACTGCTTTAAGGCGTTTCACCTGCGGAACTACGACAATTTCTGCCTCGTTAGCTCTCCTGCGGACTTTGTAAATAAAGCACCGACAACTTTCATTTTACAACCCTTGAGCCCTAATGTCCTGTTTTGACGCCATATCGCTAACTCGGTTATTAGATCGACTACAAGGCTCAAATTTTGGGTGGGTATTATTCGACCCATAAAAACATAATAAAACACACTAACAAAAATCTGCACTCAAAATAAAAAATTCAGGGCCGAAAGGGTTAAGAAGCGCAAAAGGAACTCATTGTTGATCGAGCGCAAAGATCTCATGCTCTAGCGTGCATCCTATCTCAGGTCGATCAAGAGGTACTGCCAAGATAACCGGCCCATCTACTACTTAGATAAGACGTGGATCTGTGCTGGCCCCACATACTGCAAAGTATAGAATGACCGAAAGTCACATCTTCAAATGATACCCAGAAGAAGGGGCTTACAACCGATCTGAGGAACCCCTCTGGAAAAGGCCAGCGACTCATCATTGTCCATGTGGGAAGCAAGGGCCTTACTTGAGGGGGCAGCCGAGGTCTTCCAGGCAAAGAAGGGAAGCAATGAATACCACCAAGAAATGAATGGGTAATGCACTAAAGAATGGTTCACCAAGAAGCTGCTACCAAACCTCAATCCTGGGAGTGTTATAGTCAAGGACAATGCCTTGCATCACTCTGTAAAGCTCCAATCCCTGCCAACTACCAATACAAAGAAGCTCAGGATTCATCAGTGGCTCAGTAAAAATGGGATAACATCGGACCTCTCTATGCTGAAGGTGGAGCTCCTGAACCTTGTCAAAAAAGCGAGGCTGCAAGGCCTGAGCTGGAAAAGTATCGCACTAATGCGATAGCAGACCACCAAGGCCACAGCATCCTTCATTTGTGTCCCTATCACTGTGAACTGAACTTAATTTAAATGAGTTGGTATAGAGCCAAGTAAAAGGAGAAGTTGCAAGCCAGAACCAAACATTCAAAATTGCAGAAGTGGAGAAGCTGACTCCGAGTGCCTTGCAACATCCGAGCCCCAGGACTGGGAAAACAATGTAAAACACACCATTGGTGTTGAAGAACGGATGTGGGAAGCAGATGGCCTCGTTGACACTGTCCTCGACAGTATTGTTATCGACACGTATGAGGGCTCCGACACAGGTACACGTGTCGAAGATGAAGACATGGGTTGTGAACCACTTGAAGAGTAGGCATTCTTGCCTTTCCACTGCCCTGTGATGACATGTGACACCAGGAGCAGATTCAGCATGTGGTGGCAATATCCACGACTGGTGGGTGCGTCGATTGCTCACTGAAGATGTGATCCCAGCAGCAGTTGCGTTTATTCCTTGCAGGAGCAATATGTAACACCATGTCTGGGATGATAATAAAACCTGTCTTGTGAGATACATTGTAAATCTGTGTCGTTCAATTTCAGCACTTACAAATATAGAGTGACCATAGTATCAGAAAACTCTGAAGCAAGATTTCAGCCTGGTGAGTGGGGAACCTATTAACCCTTTGTGTCCCGGAGATATTTGAAAAATAATAGTCGAGCCCACTTATAACAGCCCCACTTAAAACGAACACTGTTATTAAGAACTCTTTCTGCACATTCCATTATGACCGAAGATTTTGCCATGAAGAGAGTTGTGGCGAAATTCGTGCCGAAACTGCTCACGGTGGAGCAAAAGCAACTTCATGTTGAAGTCTCACAAGACATGCTGGATTCCACAAGCAGTGACCCCGACTTCATGAACAACATAATCACTGGTGACGAGTCTTGGGTGTACAGGTACAACCCGGAAACCATATCTCAGTCGTCACAGCAGAAGTGATGCTGACTGCTTTCATTGACTCTCACGGTGTGGTACACCACGAGTACGCACCACGGGGTCCAACAATCACCAAAGAGTACTGCAGAGATGTCCTTCGTCGCCTACGTGATGCTGTGCAGCGCAAAAGACCGGAGTTGTGGAACACAGGAAATTGGCGCATCACGACAATGCTCCACCACATTCCTCCCACCTGATTCAGACATTTTTGGCAAAAAACCGAACTCCTATAGTTCAACAGGCTCCTTACTCCCGACATGGCCCCCTGCGACTTCTGGCTGTTTCCCAAAATCAAGAGGCCATTGAAAGGAGCGCGATTTCAAACAAAAGAGGACATTATGGCTACAATGGCCACTTTGAAAGAGGCCTTCTCAAAATGCTTCCAACAATGGCAGCACCGCTGGGAGAAGTGTGTGGAGTCCCAAGGAGACTACTTTGAGGGTGATTAGGTTTCCAACACTCCATTTATGCCAGTTTTTTTCTTTGGGCAAAAGTCGGATACTTTTCTAAAAGACCTCGTAGAGCAAAGTTTGTGTGCACACCTTGTCGCTCGTCCCGTAAAGTCCTAATGCAAAGGAGTAAGCCTTGAAGCGCCGGGAGCCACCGGTGCCATTGCTCTGCGTTCTCGAAGTCGAACTGCGGCGTCGGTTGTATGACGAAGCTGCAACGGTGGCCGAAGTTCCTATTAGCAACCCGCCACCTCTTCCGACACCATATAGAAGAATGCACCCCAAAGACCGAGGCCGGTAACATAATGCCCAGCTGTCTGCTGCAGCTTTATTCATGTACAAATGTAATGGAAGCATGGCGACCCCTAGGTCAGTAGTTTCACAGGTTAGTAGCACCCCCCCAAAGAGCCTTCTGCGGTACACAGCCCATAAACATCTTAAGTAATGACGTCGACTCAGACTTAGGTGAACCCACATATCAATGGGCACCAATGTTGGTGTTTCAGTCCACCTATAGTCAGGAGTCGCACCAAAAATACAATGGCCAGCATCAGTGCATATTAAAAGGGTACACCAACAACTTTTCCATGGCCTGCGATTCACTTGAAAAATGGCAGAACAGACAAGTACCGTGTCGCTTGTGTCACCGGGTTAACCAGGAGCGAAGTAACAACGAGAAGAGGTGTGGCACAGTTCACAAGTCTCCTTACGCCCAGTGTGAAAAGGAGGTGGTGTACCACATTCCGCTGACATGCGGCCGAAGTTACATCGGACAAACCGGCCGATGCATTAACGATCGGACGAGGAAGCACGCTGCATCAGTGAAAACCCTGTCAGCAGGAGGACACT